CAAGATGTTTGCTGCAATTGTGCTGATACCCCCCCCCAATTTCTTGTCATTTAGGTATGCCACTCAGTGAATCAGTGAAACTCATTATATATAGATTAATTATTCACTTGATATATATATATATATATATGCAGGAGTCTATCACTATATGTATATATATGAAGTGTGTGCGTGCGTGTGTGTGTGTAATGCAAACGTTTGGATGGTTTATATCGATCTAAATAGCATGCTAAGTGCATGCGTTATAATAAGTGGACATCGTGGATGTTCTAAAATCAACTTGTTGCATGTATAAGTTGATTACAGCCCCGTTCACACGGCCAACTTTACCTCGCCAAGATTTAACTCGGTTGAGTTCACCCTACAGAAAGTGCCCGGTAGCAGTTCAAGCTACCAAATGGTGAAAGCTCTGTGAGGAGCACATCATTTATACCTATTGTCATCACAGCACAAAAATTAAACGGGTAGTTAGTTATTCAGTTAGGACTTAACTCTGGTAACTGTTTTTGTCGTGTGAACTGGGCTCACGAAACTTCCTATAGATATTCCATAAGTACCAGGCATGCTTGAACCAAGATTGCCTAGAAGTTGTGTTTTAAAATGTTTATAATTAATATTTTGTATATCACTTGAGTCGAAGGATCAATTTGTATAAATTACTGTTCGTCGTTTTTTGCTTCGTGGAAGGAATGCAATTTGCTCCGTAATATTTAGCGTCGTCATGGTGGCGAATTTGTATCGATTTATAGTGCCATATTTGTTCTCGAGTCAATTTTAAACTGTGATATACACGTGTTATCTGCATGTAAGTGTTGCTTCTGAGAGGGATTCAGCGCAGAACGGGAATTCTACTTCATGACTAAATATCGTATGTTGCATATTTAGCCACGCATTAATACACGGGCTGCTCGGCTCAGTGGAGTGACGGCATGAGATGTATATACCCCGTACAGACGGCAAATTTGATCCCACATCAAACTAGTGGGCCTGGCCCAGACTAGTTCGATGTGGGATCAAATTTTGCAGTCTGTACGGCGTAATAGCTAGTAGGTTCTCCAAGAACAATGTTAAAGGTGAAAGATTTACGTGCGGTAACATGTGTAGCCGCGTGGCAGGCTTCCTGCGTTGGCCGGCTGGCCGTCGTCATTCGGTTGGTATTCATTTCGTATAGCGTGTCGTTTACTATCAAATTCTTATTGTTTATCTACTCTCTATTGGCTAATGATTCCACGTAGATACCGTTCAGCGATCTATGTTTCTGTGGGTTCGTGTACAATGGCGCACGTGCGCTGAAGTCGTGTTGCAGAGGGGCATTTGAGTGGCATTTACGGTGAATTATTATACGATGAAGCGTAGATAAACATGAAGAGTTTGGTAGGAAATACAATTTGTGTTTATTTAACATCATTTTATAATCGAAATAGGCCAAGTGCCTGTGCATGGAATAGTTGTTCTCTTGTTGGATGGATGGTTTGTGAAACCGGGTATCTAAAACATTGTTGGCGCTATACGTTGCAGGTGAAACGTCTCTGACTAGCCCATTGTTGGAATGTAGCCGATAAAACAAGATATATGTATACAGTATATGTGTGTGTATATATATATATATATATATATATATATATATATATATATATATATATATATATATATATATATATATATATATATATATATATATAACGCTTTGTAGTATGTATCTGAAAAGAGAATCTCATATTATATAGTATTTCATATGCCTCTTGTGTTTTGTCAATATCTATACGTGCATTTGTTTCACGTGCGTATTTCATCAAGTTCATTCTAGCACTGCAAGGCGGTATCTGCGACACGAACGCTTGCAAACAGAAGCGTTTATTACTGATATCGTGGAATGGTCTTAACACGGCGTGCGCTATATATTTATCACATAATTAAGTCTATGCCCAACGCTATGCTTACAAAATGTAATAATAGGGCTTCACGGCTTTAATAGCTTATCTAGCCATTATATTCACCCCACTATATAGACTGAGAGCTTTATAGTTGGCCATGCTTTCACTTCGGCCACAGCATCCCACCATAAATCTTCCCCTATAGTAAAACTAAAGGCACACGACGTTGTTTCAACGTTAGATTTTGGTTGCGACGTCGCCAGCATAAAAACGTCTATTCAATCATATTTCAACTACGTCAATTCAACGTCGCAATAAGACGTTGATTCACTGTTGGATTTTGATCGTGACATCGAACAACGCGAACACAACATCTATTCAACGTCTTGGTACGTCAATTCAACATCACAATAAGATGTTGATTGGTCAAAGAACATTGAAGGATGAACAATACAACATTAAGAATAACATAACAATAGGATACTATTTTTCATAGTATTGCCATTTTATTTTTTATATTGTATTGTTCCTCTTTCAATGTTCTTTGCCCAGTAACATACTGTATAAGCTGTATATTTCGCGGTGGTTTAATATTCGCGAATTTCGCAAATGCGTCCCTGACCGCAAAAACAACAACACGCGAATAATTCATAACGAATAATACCGAATAATTCATAATTCACCGACCGCAAAATTAACCATTCGCGGAATTGTCTGTCAAGCCTGAATTTGCGAAATTATCTGTACACGAAAAATACGGCTTATACAGTACTGTATACGCCATATTTTTCGCATACCAAGAAACTGTTCTTCGCCACTCAACCCCGTAGGTATACGTACATAAGTGTGACGTGACACACGAAAGCCTTAATCCCTCATTCCCCAGCATTTTCCAAGAGGAAAAGATGCGATGTCTCATGCACATCTCTTCCCCGTGACTCCCCCTTACCACGACAGAGAAGTAAAGTGAGGTAATATCGATGATATGTGATGAAGTTGTTTGATTGACACCCAGATGTGCATGGTAAAATCTTATCTAAAAATTTCGGCTGCCGCATCCCTCAACGCCCCAACCCTAAGCTTAATACTTTTGATTGACTATCATATTTACCGTATTTGGAATGGTTATAAAATTGTTCAATAAAAATCTGGGTAACAAACATTTAATTCTTGCCTTAATAACGCAATTAGGCCTATATTGTAAAGAAAATAATGATTAATTACTCACTTTAGCAACAAACTGTTCACTATAATCACATTTTATTTATGCACGTACGCACACACACCCATGTACGCATAAACGCACGCACGCGCGCAGTATTACAACTATATAACCCAGTGAAGAATAATGGGAACTTAAGATTAGAAAATACTCGCTTAACCGTTTGGGGAGTTTTAGGTATGTAACCTACATGGAAATGGCATTTCAGAGCGTCTATATTTCACAATTTTCTGGGGGAGCATGCCCCCAGACCCCCCTAGAAGCGAGCGCCTCCGCCCATCGTTCATCTTGCCCCTCATACGTTAACTCCTAGCTACGGCCCTGTGCTTAGCTGTTTATTAACTGCTGCTTATCAACTAACCTAGGGGCGTAGTACCAGTCGAGTACTGTGGGGTAACGGGGATCGCGTAAGACCAATGATGGGTGTTAGCGGCGCCAACTTGTCTCCCTCTGGCGGCAGAATATCAAAATTCTGCAAAAAGGCAGTGAAGAATAGAAACAGTTCCATCTTAGCGAGCATTTCTCCAAGACAAACTCGCCATCCTGCAAATAATGAATAAAACGCATGATTGGTGATGGTCAAATATGATCACTGCTTAGGTCGCGTTTGGGCATTGGTTTGATATAATTATTGAGAAATTCCAATATTTTACTAGTCTGTACCATCACCATATCATCAAAACTTTTATTCTGTGTTAACAACAACAACAACAACAACAACAACAACAACAACAACAACAACAACAACAGCTAAATAAAACCAGCATCTAGCATTGTGGTAAGTTGAGAAAGCAACGAAATGTCTAGTTCCCGTCACACCTACCGATCGAGAACGGAATGAGATGCTCAGAATTGGATAGCTTTCCGTTTTCGTCCAGGAATCGTTCCGGTTTCATCACATCCGGCTCAGGGAACCGCTTCGGGTCCCTGTGCACGGCATATAGGTTCGCGAAAACCATGGTGCCATTAGGAATCTGATAACCACGCAATGTCGTATTCTCTTTGGTGATTGCATGTGGAATTGCCAGCGGGACCACATGTGCTGCAATTATATATTATCATTACTGTCTCTCAATAGACTCCTTATAGTTGTTTTTTCATACAATTAAGTATCCACAATCAGTCCCTCTCGCGATCACTGAGAAACCAAACCTACTATTCGTCTTCCTAATTGACCGTGCCTGTGTGACACACACACACACACACACACACACACACACACACACACACACACACACACACACACACACACACACACACACACACTAGACACACACACACACTACACACACACACACACACACACACGTGACACACACACACACACACACACACACACACACACACACACACACATACACACACACACGTGACACACACACACACACACACTTTTGTTCCTCATTTGCTCTCATTCTCTCACGATGGCACACGCACAGACGGCTCCCCAGGCGCACTCATTCCCCTTTATTTATCACATCTAGTAATTGCGTTAATTTAAAACCAATAAAAGAATACTTAAGTAAAAAATAAAACGGGGAAAAAGTCGCGACAACATGCTTTGAATGCGTACATACCTAGTCGTTGCAGCTCCAAGATGGTGGCCTCGGTGTAGGGCATGTTGGGTTTGTCCTTCATGGAGGGCAGACGACCTCTGCCTATCACCGCGTCGATTTCCTCCTGCACTTTCTTGGCGACGTGAGGGTAGTACGTCATGTAAAGCAGGCTCCATCGCAGCGTCGTCGCTGTCGTCTCCGTGCCAGCGGCAAACAGGTTAGTGATGACGTAGGGAGCCTCGTCGTCTAGATAAACAGTAACCATGGTAACCGCCAAGTTTTTGATAATACATTATGAAATAGTGACTATTTCTGAGGCAGAGACAATGATAATTATCGAATTGTGCGTTTCCCTCAAATGTACAATAGGTGACAACGAAATGAGGACGGAACTAGATTGCGTTGTCCACGAGGGAGGGTCACTTTAAATAAGCGTTGATGTTCACGGAGACATAATCGTAGCAGGATTCACATCTTAGCGTAGCAACCAAACAGTTATATTCCTCTTTCTAGCATTTTATTTTATCAGGAGTACATTATACAGAGATTATATGCATGTACCTATAAATATATATATATATCGCGATGATAAAGCCCAATAGATATCTAGATATCTATAGAGATAATGATAGATCTCTATACCGTGTGCTCCTGATTTTATCATGCTCACACGTGAATGTCGTGCTCTTATTCTGAGCCATGTCTTCGATTTGCTTTATATACAAGTCGACGAAATCTCGTATGTTGTCGCGATCGAACGACTTCTTATGCTCAGCGATTCTCTGCTTCACCCACGAGACCCCCTTGTCGACTCGCGCCAGGAACCCCAGGTACTGGCCGCGCCCTGCTCCGGGAATGAACCGCAACCACGGCAAGAAGTTCAGCATTTCGAGGTTTCCCGCCTGCCGTACGTTCTCGTTCAGGAGCGTGAGCAGCTGCTGGAAGTCGGCGTGGTCGTATTCGAACCGCGATCCGAACACGATGTTGCAGATGACATTCGATACGGCGTTGCCGAGCAGGAACTGGTAATCGACCGGACGTCCGGCGTTTCCCTTTATCTCGTTCAGCAACACTTCCGCCTCTGAAGCATGTGATTGCGCGAAAAAACTTGAGTTTGAACTCAGTAAGCTGGTGTGAACGCACGTAAACGCACGTAAACCCATGGAAACGCATCTAAATTAGGAAACTGGTGTATACGCATGTATACGTATCGACCCTCAGCCTGTCAATACTGACGAGTGACGATAGCTTACTTTAATACGAACTTTTAATACATTATCGGAGATAAATGATATACATTACTATATACATTACGGCGTGAAAATGAAATGATGAGTTTCCAGTCGTAAAAATAAATGGATATCGCGGAAAACCTGCACCGGGAAAGTAAGACGCACCCTCTTGAATTTTCCCCTCCATTGACATTTTCCCCATTCCGAAATCCCGCAGTCCCGACAGAGCGAACTTTCTCTGCTCCTTCCAATGGGCGCCATCCGTCTCTAGTATACCTAAAAAAAACCATGACGTCGTAAATTCATGATATTGATGAACATAAAGTGGATACGATAGCGCCCTGGTAAATTTACAAAATAAATAAAAAAGATGTTATATATACGCATAAGCATTCAACAGTAACTCCAACACCACTTCACCACTTCACTCGCTACACGGTCAAAGCGCAGTGAGTGAAAGTACTATAGGTGAGCTACCTGGCACGCGTGACAAGCAGTATAATGAGTCCGTTCAGCGGACGAGACCGAAGCAAATCGCAAAGACGCGAGTTAACTCAACAGCAACTTTATTCACCCCCAGCCAGAATCGAAACCAACAGAATTAACAGTGTACCGTACTACTATGTACTAACTTACCGTGTAGGTTTCCCTTCTCATCAGACATCAGGCTTTTGATGATGAAGGCATGAGCACGACCGGAAAACGCTTCTCCCTGCTTCAGGAAGGCTTCCTTAATCAGTTCGTAGTCGTTCAGAACGACCGTAAAACGGGGTCCGAAGTAGATGCTGGCGATGAAATTTCAATGTTTTCTTACAGTGAGTATATGCGTAAACGGTATCTAATAAATACTAATTGAATCTAAAAATTCTAAAATAAGATTCGACTTAATCTAAAGCCTATATAAAGGGTACTGTATATAATATAATGCGTATAGGCAATGTTTTTCACAAGGGTTCTTACATCTGCAAACGAATATGCGAATATGCACATGGAGATAATACGGGTTCCACGCCACACACCCTTGAAAATACAGGTTTGTATTCTCGCTATTAGTATATTCTACAACGCACTTATTGACAAGCGTGAACTAGTAACGCAACCTTTCTTATTCGTAACAGAATTAAACTTTAACAAATTATTTTTCACATGCACGCACAAGTTGCGATTGCTCGGCATTTCGCGCTGTATGTCGCGTACGGACAGCGGTTTCCCCCTACACATCTTCACCAGCAAGCGATCCTGCATTAGATGTTTGTAATATACATGTACCTCGTGCATCATTCACACGCGCACACGCGCGCGCATACGAACGCACACACGTACACGCGCGCGCATACGAACGCACGCACGTACACGCGCGCATGCGCACGCACGCACGTATAGCTACACACACGCGCATACGCACGCACGCACGCACGCACGTATAGCTACACACGCGTGCATACGCACGCACGCACGCACGCACGCACACACGTATACACACTCACGCATACACACACAGAACCCGCTCGAGCTGAGGCTCCACGCACCTGAATATCGGTCCATATTTCTCTCCGAGTTCCGTGAGGGCGGCGAGCGGGTTCGTCCGACCGAGATGTAGCAGGCTGCCCACTACGGGCAGTCCGCGCGGACCAGGAGGCGATCCCGCAGGTTTCCTTGTCAGGTAGGTGACGAGCAGATAGACGGAGACCGCCAGCAGCAGCGCCGTACACCACTGAGAGAAGCTACCCACGTCCATCGTCGACGAATTCTCTCTATCGCAATGATGTCGATGTGTTTTACTGGTGAAGGTTAGACGCGTATAGGATAAGCAATGAAAGGAACTGCTCACCAGAGGGAGATGGTTACAAATCTAGTTACGTAGGAGTATAGTCGCGCCCACTGCTTGGAGTAAACACTATCGTAGGCCTGTGTGGACCACAGGTAGGCTACGCTTTTATACGGGGAGAGACCTTAGCCAGGCCAGCAAATATCGCTAGATACTAAACGCAAATATTTGTGTGCAATATATTTGACCCTGAGCCAGGGCAAGGTGCGCATCCATCTCACCGGTGTCGCGCGAAATATCTGCCGAGTGCGAAATATTTGAGATAGCCCCGCCCCTCCCCGACCCGACCAATGACAGCTCGTCTTTGTGTTACGATAGGTTGTGCACACTAATCTGCACACTAATCTGCACACTAAGGAGGAGGAGGAGGGGGAGAAGCTGGTGGGGAAGGAGGAGGGGGAGAAGGGAGAAGGTGGTGGAGAAGGAGGAGGGGGAGAAGCTGGTGGAGAAGAAGGAGGGGGAGAAGAGAGCCACCAGCCTTTCGCCGCCTCCCTCCTTCTCACCACATTTATCCCTTTCTCCCCCTCCTCCTTCTCCACAGCTTCTGCGCCGCCTCTTCCTTCTTTCCACCACCCTTCTTCCCTTCGTCCCCCTCCTCCTTACTCCACCAGCTTTCTTCCCCTCCTTCTTCTCCACCACTTCTCCCTTCTCCCTTGCCTCCTTCTCAACCACCTTCTCCGCTTCTCCCCTCCTCCATTCTCACCGAGCTTGCTCTCCGCTCCTTCTTCTCCACCCCTTCTCCCTTCTACTCCCTCCTCCTTCTTTCCACCAGCTTCTCGCCCGCCCTTTCCTTCTCCATGCCATCCTTTTCTCCCTTCTCCACCCTCCTCCTTCTCCACAGCATTCTTACCCCTCCTCCTTCTCCGGTCCAGCTTTCTCCCTTTCCCCCTCCTCCTTCCTCCACCAGCTTCTCCCCCTCCTCCTTCTCCCTTCTCCCCCTCCTCCTTCTCCACCAGCTTCTCCCCTCCTCCTTCTCCTCCAGATTCTCCCTTCTCCCCCTCTCCTTCTCCACCAGCCCTTCTTCCCCTCCTTCTTCTCACCAGCTTCTCCGCTTCTCCCCCTCCTCCTTCTACCACCATGCTTCGCCCCCTCCTCTCCACCACCTTCTCCCCTCCTCCTTACTCACCAGGCTTTCTCCCCTCCTCCTTCTCAACCACCGTCTCCCTTCTCCCCTCCTCCTTCTCCACCAGCTTTCTCCCCCTCCTCCTTCTCCCCACCTTCTTCCCTTCTCCCCTCCCTCTTTCTCCACACAGCTTCTCCCTGCCTCCCCCTCCTCCTTCTCCACCAGCTTCTCCCCCTCCTTCTCATTCTTACACACCTTCTCCCTTCTCCTTCCCTCCTCCTTCCACGCTTCCCCCTCCTCTTCCCCTACCACCCTTCTCCCTTTTCCCCCTCCTCCTTCTCCACAGCTTCTCCCCCTCCTCCTTCTTCACCACCTTCTCCCTTCTTCCCTCTTCTTCTCCACCAGCTTCTCCCCTCCTCCTTACTCCACCACTTCTCCTTCTCCCCCTCCTCTTCTCAACCAGCTTCTCCCCCTCCTCCTTCTCCACCACGCTTTCCCTTTTTCCCCTCCTTCTCTCACCAGCTTCTTCCCCCTCTCCTTCCTTCGTCCACCACCTTCTCCCTTCTTCCCCTCCTCCTTCGGCCTACCACCTTTTCCCCCTCCTCCTTCTCCACACCTTCTCCTTCTCCCTCCTCCTTCTCGCACCCCTTCTCTCTANTGTACACATTAGGTAAACGTGGTGCATACATGCCATTTTAACGAGACGTCACCGTCATGCCAGTCACGCATCGAAACATCTTTGACTAGTTCAAGCACAGTTAAAATGATGCTAGCCAGGGATTCACACTCGCGTGTAAATAGTTACCCCCCCAGTTATGTTTGTCACAGAGCGTGTACATTGTCTAGCAGAGCGTGAGGCCGGATACCAGTCTACCCTTTGGCAAAAACAATAACGTGGCTTGCTGCCAGCCGCAGTAGACGATCGATAAACCGTGCGCTCGTGTATGCCCGTGGTAAAATACGAATGCTGCATGTGAACTCGGCCCACGCGCGATTTAAAGCGCGGGAAACAGCATCTATGAATTGATACGATGACACGCTCTTATCTAAATAAAGTTTTTCATAGCAATGGTCTGGGTCTGGGCTAGTGAAAGTTAGGTCAGGGCTAGTGGTTTTCCTGAGTTACTAACCCGATGGTCTAGTGAAATAAAAAGTTAATGTTGAACCCTGATAATTTCTTTTTTGTTTGTTTTTTTCTTCAGAAGAAGAAGTATTCCGGTCGGATGGAGTCTTTCGGAGGTATATTCGGATGTAACATAATAATTTCAACTTTCATGCGTGCGTGTGTACCTACACGTGTGTGCATGCGTGCGTGTGCACGTACACGTGCGTGTGCACGTACACGTGCGTGCGTGCATGCGTGCGTCCGTGTGTGTGTGCACGTACATGTGCGTGCGTGCGTGCGTGTGTACGTACATCGTACTAGTGTCGCCGCCTATCGTGGAGTTATGAACTATTCGCTAACTCGAGTTAAAGCGTCTATACGGGGCCTTAACTAGGGTGTTTCTCATTTATTCATTTAAAAGCATAATGATTGTAATATCTTATAAACGACATATAGTTTCAGTTATAATATGGATAAATTTTTCCTAAAATGAATATCGTTCGGTGAAATAGCATTTAGGTATAAATATAATTGCACTTTTGTGATTAGCTCTCGGTCTGTAACGTGTAAAATAAATAGTCAAATACGCAACTTTTTTGTGGTGGCAGCACGGTCGCGGGTGTCATGGCGCCGCTCAAATTTCGTAGCGTTGATGTGTAATTAATTATAACAATTAAATTAGGTATCTGGCAACAAGCGATAATTACCAGCGGTAATCTGGTAACAACGATTTGAATTAAATTTCACCGTCACGTTTACCTTTTAAAAACATAAATAGTAGATATCACTGTTATTATCCTATATCATTGCATGTACGTGTAAACGATTTTAATTTTCCAGATATCAGGTGTAGAGAAGAGGCCAAGAGGAATTTATAGAGGAGGTATGTACATGTTTGCTTCACATTTAGTGTTTTTGGTTGTCGATGTACGCTTAACACGTTCAACGCGAAACACGAGTATACTCGTTCGAACCTGCAAAACGCACGGCCGCGAAACACGAGTATACTCGTGGCAAAAAAAATACAAAAAACACAAAAAAATTGGAACGTTTACTATGTTCTCCTATAGATGGCAGGGGCTATACGCTTAGCAATTCAACAACGTCAATGTATAAACCCCAGTAGTAGATGACATAATTTAAACAATACTTTACTGTTGTTTGGAACGTTATTTTGGGAGTTTTTGGGACTGAGGTAATGTTTTTAGTTCACTTCGCCAAAGGGCGTTTGACCGCCGTGTTTTGTGAAGTGGTTTTTATGTCTGAAAGTTGTGTTTGATTTGATACATCACCTGTGATAGATTCCGGTGTTGTTTCGATGTCTGAGAGTAAGTTTATATCTATATT